TTAGCCTAAATTTTAGTGTTGATCATATATTTTACAAGATTTATTATATATTTGATATGAGATTATAGAAAATCTTATATAACATTTATCTGAAATTATAATTTTACAAAAAAAATATTTATTATTAATATGCTATCAAATATTTCATAAAACAATCCAATTAGAAGTTTTACATAAAATAAAACAAACCCAAAAAAATATTTAATGAATTTTCATATCACTGTTAATAGGTTTTTCGAGGTTGCTTCAAAAACTTGATACTCGTCTTTATATAAAGAACGTAGGGTGTTATTTTAAATAGTTTATAAATGTTGAAGATAAACATCATATACAACAAGAGATTTATCTTTTTTTAATATCAAGTAGTAATTAAAATTTAAAATCAACAAAACAACTTTATCTTAAATAAAAAAATTAATATTAATAATAATTTTATTTATGAATTAATTAATTATTAAATCAATAATATAAATTTATCTCAAATAAAAAATAATAATATTAGAATAATTATGTTTTCGAATTAATTAATTTTTAAATCAATAACACAATTTTATTTCAATTAAAAAGAGAATTAATAATAATAATTTTTATTGTGTTTACGAATTAATTAGTTGTTAAAACAAATAAAGACAAAACAGACTTTTCAACTATTGAAAGATGTATTTTGTTAAAACAAAAAAAAATTAGTGTACTTTTCAAATTTTCAAACATAATTGTTGTATTTTTCAAAAAATTCCATTAAGTTATTGGGTTTTTTTTCTTTATGGATAGGAAAAGCGTCTAACTCATTTCGGGGTTTGACTAATGTGCAGTGTTTGAACTTTGAATACATTAGACCATCCACATTCGAGACATTTTGTGGATGTCTTTAAATAAACAAATATTAAAAACACATTCTCTCATCCTTTTACTCAACTTTATACCTTTTGTTTCATCATTTTACTCAATTTTTATTAATTTTATATTTAAACACACTCCAACTTTCATCCATTCTCTCTCCAACTTTGTCTTCCAAGAGACATTCTCTCTGCAAAAATACCCACTATCTCCTCTCTTTAGTCAAATTTTATTAATTTTATATTTCAATACACCCCATTATTTCAACCAAAAACACTCTATTTCTTCCTTTTATTCAACTTTTAATAATTTTATATCTAAAGACACCTACAAAATGTCTCCAATGCAGATGCTCTTAGAATGATGGCCTAAACAAACCACAAGACTAATACAACTAAACAACATAGTAACCATGTTTTTTGTTTCCATACCTATATAACTTATTCTACAAAATGGACGTTCTCAAAAAAAGGGAAAAAAAAGAATAAATTAAACAAATGAATCTCC